ATGAAAAATTGATGGCTATTTTGTCAGACTCCCATGATAAATTTCTTCGGGTTTGCTAGCCTTGGATAGCAAGTGCCCATCCTTTGAGTTTTGATCATCTCCTCTTAGCAGTTTTACAGTGCTTGGTACATGGAACCCTTTGACCCCCGCCTCCTGGCTTGCTCTGATTCATCCTCCTTCCTAGTTTTTTTTTAACTTATTTCTTTCTAGCTTCATTTACTGTTACATAACCATGCAGCAGCCTGGCTCTCCAGCCGAGCACAGTTTAGACAGTTGTTGGATATATCTGTTGTGTAGATCTGACATGTTTTTTCTCTTCAATTTGTTACATAACATAATCTTGCATTCATAATTTTAGTTCCTATGACATTAATTAAATTTCTTGTTGTGGCATTCCCAATGATTGTATACTTTTCAATATGCACTGGTTTTGCCATTGGTGCCTTATTTGTATTTCTGTGTTCTTCAGACCACAAGTTTTTGTTATAATTTTAAAAAAAAATTTGTTATGTGACAAATGGCTTTGTTTAATGTGCTGTCAATAAATCTTTGTAAAAGAAAAAGTATAGAATTCTGCTAAAAGAAAAAGCCATGAGAAAAAGTCCCTAAATACTCGCATCACTTGTAATGTGTTTTCCAAGTGTAATAGTAAATCATGCATGAGGTAGACTTGCAAACATTTAATATTATTTGGCCTGTCTGCTAGGCAGCTGCTCAATAACTTAATTTTAATCAACTCTTAATTCTTGAACCAAGGATCTGGTTACTATAGATCCCTAATCCAGTGGATACTTGATAATAAAAAAACTGACACTTCCTGACAGTTGGGAGGTTAAGTCACCTTGGGGAACTGTCCAGCTGTCCGTTTAGTATTTTTTTTTTGTGCACCCTAGTGTGACGATAGTGAGGTATGACGAACCCTAAAGTGTGTGCAGAGAATGAGGAAGTTGTGCTGAATATCATACCACCCTCATTTTCCCCAAAATTTTAAAAGCTGGTGACAAAATGGTCAAATTAAAAACTAATGTCATGAAAGATGATACATTTCACAAAAAAAAAATTCCAATTAGAAAAGAATGCAGAGGAGAGTAGAAGAGAAGTTTCAGAATAGGTTTTGTCTTAAAGTGGTTATGAATACACATCTGAGATGCTCAGTTAGTGAGTGACCTATAAGTGAATTTCCCCTATAGTCAAAATTCTAGGTATAATTCATAATTCCTACAGTTCCTTCCTAAAGACACCTTTTTTAACCTTGTCATGTGGAAATATAGTTTACCTAGAATAATGGCACTAATGGTGTGTCTACTGATATATTAAAATATCTAGCACATCTTCAACACCCTCATACCCTTTGAGTGGTGACAGTTTTGCAATTAGCATCTGCGAGCTCTTGTTTTACCCATTTAAACTATTAGGAAATTACTAAAGATCATTTATGAGGGCCAGTGCAATCTGCAACATTAAATTGGACTTCTTTTATAAGTGATCTGGACTGGTCACTGTACAAACCAGGTGGACTCTACCTAGCCTAAGTATATACTGTTCTTCATTAGACATGTGCGATTCTTTTCGTGTTTGAATCAGGATTCAGGACTAAATTTTCAGATTTACTTATTCAGATGTATCTGAAACTACAAACAATCACAATTTGTAACAATAGCATTATCAGACATAACAGTCAAATAATTTAGTAAATAGCATAACAATACATAAACAAATGAAATGGATTCTTGAATCTGATTTTTCTTTCAAAAACTAAATTTAGAATTATATGAATTGATTCTGAATTAAATCAAATATACAACTCGAATCTGGATATATGAAATGGATTCCTAGAAAAACTGAATATGATGATACAACAATGATTGACTTAATGATTGAATCTGAATCCTCCTCACAAAAACTAATTTTTTTGCGGTCATATAATACATCATGCACATCTCTATATGTGAGAGCCAATTAAACAATTATTTGAAAAACTATCAAATAAATATCAGATAAATCTCCTAGCAAGATAATTAAAGAACTTCTTTGACTTAGAGAAGACAACCATAATGTACACTCTGTTAGTGACATTTTTTTTAAAACCTGACGCACTAGAATTAACTAAAAGGAGGTCTAGATTAAAGAAAAAATATACACACATTCTACACATCACTGAACCGATGTTATACTCCTCTGCTCTGTGTAATGGTATTACACAGAGATCTCCTCTATGGCCTGATCCTTCTAGCTTCTTGGGTCCCCCACCGGCGATCTTCGACTCCTTCTCTTCTTCCTGTGGTCCACACTGCTATGGAGGCATGTAGTGTCCTGCTCACTCATGAGCTGTGGAGTTTATGGAGCCCACACTCCATAGACACACAGAACGGGATATAGCCCCTCCACTTCCCTCTTCACTGCATTTGATTGCAATGGCTCCGGCTGCTAGAGTCCCTGTGTGAGAGGGCAGAAGAGATACAGCCATGCACATTGCTGGATCTGTTCTCCCCTCTCATTCCCCTTTACACAGGAAAAGGGGGAGGACCAGAGAAACTGAAAATGATTTTTACCTTATTGCAAGGAATGCATTAAGGTAAAAAAAACATTTTTATGTTTTAGTATCACTTTTATATGTCAGAATTGCAACAGTGGATGCTGTATACTGTCCCGTATTTTCCATTTAAACACATGGTGGCCACTCACCTGTGTGTTTAAAGGGATAATGGTTCAAAGAACGAAAGAGGAAGATCAGTATGCATTTGTTCTATCTCAGAATAAGCCAAAGGTGTGAAGTACTTTCATCCAATGTCTCCTTTTGCTTCCATAACATGAAGGATTTACTGTACCCTATTGTGAATATTCATACATAAACAAGGGCAGATCTTGGCTGCACATGTGCAAATATAATCTGAGATCCCTTTAAGGTCTAATGGCCAAGGTTATGCTTGCATATGCAAATGTATTTAAAGGTCCTTCATTAACCTGGCTGTAGCATTATATGCAGGGTCTGACATGTCAAAGAGAAGCATGAGTTTCTGAGAAATAAGGTAATGACATGCTGCTTTTGCACTGTCAATTTCCCATAAATTTCAGGATCTTTTCTTTATACTATAATATGCCCAGGAATCCCAGATTGAGCGCAGGTGGTCTTTCCTAAATGCAATGCACAGACCCCAGTCAATCAATAGACTTATAGTTAGTGAGCTGTAGATAGAAATATAAAAAATACACTGAATCATGTCCAATATGCACATTAACTTTAGTTAAACTGCATATGTTAACAGTCATGTAATTACGGTATTAAGATATAGCTTCCAGGGATCCCCTGGGTATATATACAGTATATTATGGTGGTGGGTTATCTATGATTGACACAATGGTGCTATGGCATAATTTTAAAAAAAAGTGATGTTTTGCTTTAAAATATCCATTGGCGCAGGAGAGGTAACATTTTTGAGGCATGTGATTGGATAATTGAACAAACTTAACCACAGCTTCCTTCACATTTGTAAACCACTTCTATGATACCAAGTTTCTCTAAGTATGTTAACATGAAGATGTTGGGACTGTGTTATAATTTGGTGTACAGTATATGTTAAAATCACAACATATTTTGTGTGGCAACTGATCTGCATTACTTTTGACTTTTGGTTAAAAGCTAATACTACTGATCATGCCAAAGTTCATAGCCACAAAGCAAATATCTGCTCGATAACGTAATATGCTCCAGTCAGTTCACGTTATCCAGAAAGTTCATACAGGTTGATCTGACAGATCAGATCCAAGGTCTTCTCGCAAATGTGCAAATCTATGCACTACAACATTGTGTAGCAAAAGTTCAACCACTGGTAAAGAATTTTTTTTTCTCAATGTAGCTTTGAGGTGGTAGAGTGAGGTGGTCCATGAGAAAGCATGCTGTTTATAATGCACAAATTTGGTTGAACAATTTCTTTTGCTAACAAGAAGATATTAATTTAACAATGAGTACTACAGAAAAGGTAAGAATTTTGTATGTCGCTTTCGGCTATTACATGACCTCTCATAGTTTTGGCTTATTTGGCAACTTTTTTTTTCGCTTAATATTCTTAGAATTAGTTAGTGGGAGTTGGTTGGACATTGAAAATCGCAAGTAAAAATGTTCCCTTGTCCTGGCAAAAAAAAAAAATCCCTTAGGAATATAAATCAGTTTTAAATTTTGTATAAAGTAATATTGTTGGGGGGGCGGGGGCTAATTAAGTACACATATACAATATTCTTCCGGGGGAAGCGGGGGTGCCTACTTAATAGCATAAATTTCATTTTTCTCTTTCCCCTTTGACTTGAATACACTTTCCAACCCCTCCTTTCCCAACCCAACTGATTTCATACCCTTTATCCACCCTTACCACTTTACCCTTTATCCTCCTTTTCTTCCCTCTTTTTTGTTTCCCTCACCCCTTAAAATTTGCACCTGATCCCCCTTTCTAATATTACCTATCACACATTCAGTCCTATACCATACCTTTTCTATACTAGTTTTAAAAAGCACACTATGGGTTTAAAACGTCTATAAATATCTCGCAGGTACTCTCTTGTCACTAAACCTGGTAACTTGTCAGTATGGTTCTATACTGCTATTTCAAATATCTTTTATGTTGACATCAGTGTACTATGCTTTTATGTTACAGAGTTGTAGGATTCCCATTGTACTAAAAATTAATAAAGAATTTACAAAAAAGAATTAATTTTCACTGGAATATTGTTGTTTTTCTGTTTTGAAAAAATGTTTTTCATGTGCAATTGATAGTCTATCAATAGCACAATATCCATATCAATATATATCTAATCTAACTAAGCTACTGATGCTATCTTGTGGGTTTGCAAGCAATATCTCAGTGTTCAAATCCATGTGCTTTCAGGGAAACAGTATCTGAATTGAAGACTAATACAGACCAGCTCAGGGCCCTACTTTTGAATGACTCTTTTAACAACTGCACCAAATAAGCTCTTTTATAGCGGTGTGTATGTTTTGCTTATAGGTTATTAAATGTAAAGCAGCTGTGGCTTGGGCCCCAAATCAGCCACTGGAAATTGAGGAGATTGAAGTACAACCACCAAAAGAAGGTGAAGTTCGGATTAAGGTAATTTTGTTATTTGTTGGCTAGCTATATAGCAGTCTCTTTAACCAGTTGCCGCCCGGCCTATAGCCAGATGGCAGGCCGGGGCGAACAGCTCGTCCCGCCGGGTGGATGCCATATGGCGTCCTTTCCGGAGTGCATTGTGAATGCCCACAGGGCCACGCTGCAGCGCGATCTGTCACTGGCCGTGTACCTCGGAAAAGGCCAATGACAGATCTGTGTACTGGTCCCGTTGCCAGTACCATGTGACCTGCTGTGACCAATCACAGCAGGTCACATGACAGTTGTATACAATGAATGGCTTCCTTTAATGCCATCCATTATATACAAGTGTGTCTAGCTGTGAATGGTCACAGCGATCACATGCACAAGCTGGGCCAATCACAGCCCAGCTGTGTCATGTGATCAGCTGTGGCCAAATCACAGCTAATCACAAAAAAAAAAACCCTGAATGAATCAATTTCATTCAGGTAAATGCTTGCTTACAGCAAAGTAATTCTTTGCTATAAGTAAATTGTGTAAAAAAAAAAAAAATACTGATCACTTCCCCAAAGTAGTACAATGTTACTATGGTAACATTATACTACTTTGGTCATAGTGGAATATGAAAAAAAAATCTTAAAAAAAAGAGAATTTTTTTATAAAAAATAAAAAAATATATAATTTTTTTTTTCGTACTGTTGCCAGTCAGTGTCCCTGATCACCACCATGCCAGTTATATGATGACGTTGTACTGCACTGGTGACAGTATGTAAAAAGAAAATTGTGAAAATCATTTTATTAATTTCTCCATTTTCTGAAAAATTATGACAAAAAAAATTACAACTTCAAAAAACTCTCCATGCCTGTTATGAAATACGTTGGACTGTCTACTTTGCAAAAAGGGGTCATTTGGGGGATATCTGTACTGTTCTGACATTCTTGGACCTCAAGAAATTAGATTGGCCGTCAGTACTTCAGGATTGATCAATTTTCAGATCTATACCATAGTTTGTGGACTCTATAACTTTCCTACAAACTAAATAATAAATACTAATTTGGGTCATTTTCACCAAAGACATGTAGCAGAATACATCTTGGTCTAAATTTTTTGAAGAACAATTATTTATTTGCAAACTTTTCAAGTATAAAAAAATTAATAAATAAGTATTTATAATGTTTTTCCATGAATCATTTTTATTGAAGCATAATGCAGAGAGAATACACAAATAAAACAGGATGCAGTGTCATTACAATTCAGACAGAAGTTAAAATGTTACTAAACCCACAACAGTAAAATCAGTCTGTAAAGCATGCTTGTTATACTCACTGTAGAACCTAAGGGGTTAATCCTCTGCATTGTATAAAAAGGCTGTTTGATCCTGACTTCTCTGATCCTCCCCTTCTTCTACTGTCTCAAATCCATCTGTTCACAATACAGAGTTCTAGGAGTCGCTCTGCACATGTTCAGTTTAGTATGTATTGCTAGAGAGTTTTTTTTCTTTTCTTTTTGGAAAGTACATGTGGTCAGCACAGGGCCAATCAGCACTGTCGAGACAGAGGATCAGGGGTTATGCAGCCTCATAGGACAGTCAGAGCAGAATGAAAACTTCTCCAAGATTAACCAGTGCTCGGCTGGACACTGATAGAAGTTAAAAGACTTCTATAATCTGCTGATGAAAAAAGGTGTTTAGCAGTTTATATTTACTAAAATAACTGTATTTTGATGTTCTGTGTACTGTGGAAGACCAGATATAGTGAATGCAGAGTCATAGATTTAGCAACACTTTAACAATGTCTAATAGGAGTGACTTGCTGTACAGAGGGCAGCAAGAGTCACAGATAACCAATGTTTTGCATTGCATTTCTAGTTTTACAAGGTGAGGGTTCACATATACTTTAGGTTATACAGTATGAGCATAAAAGATGACGCATAAAGATACATAGCATTGGAAAGCTGTAATTTCAATGTAATTTATCCTGTACAATGCAAATCCATATCTAAACATATGTTCATTTTGTAACCAAGCAATTTTGAAAACCCACTTTTACTTTTGTTTTATAATATGTTTAGATGGTAAGCACAGGAATATGTCGAACAGATGACCATGCAATCCATGATGTATTTCCAGGGTTGAATTTTCCTGTTATTTTGGGCCATGAAGGAGCTGGAATAATTGAAAGTGTTGGAAAAGGAGTAACTGGATTAAAACCAGGTATTTAAAAATCTTTAGGAACATACATGACATTACCTTGCAGGGGAATTTTTTTTTTCTTTCTTGCGGTTTACTACCGCTTTAAATAACCCTTTCACACTGACGTCTTATTGGACCATCCATAGCTCTCTATGGACCGGCATCCAATCCAATCCTGTATACTAAAAACAGACGGATGGGGATCCAATCCTTGTCTGATCTGATGACAGTCAGATGGAAATGGACAGGCAGTCCATTTCCATTGTATTGCCCCAAAGAAAACAGTGGGCAGCTGTCATCCACTTGCTCAGTGGTGATCATCGGAGAGATCCCCGCTGAGCAAGCAGATCCACTGATGGATCCGCCCCATCTGAAAGGGACCTTATATTTAGGATTTACTGTATATAGTGCCAACTATTTGTGCAGCCTTTACAAAAATTAAGTACATATGAACAAAAACATAATTATCTTACTCTTTCCATAATAATGATTAAATCGCTTATAAGAAACTGATGGCCATTATTCCAATTACGTTTTTGTTCACGTTTGACGATTTTATCTAATATTATACATTAAGAGTACTATATACATTTATTTTACTGTTTATGCTTGATCACTGGTTAGAATTGATTTAGCTTTTCTGATCTTTCTGTAAGTCCATTGGCGTCCCATTGATCTTCAATAAAATGGTGGATGTACTTAAAGTCCATTGTGAAAATGGCATTTGGACTTCAATAAGATGGCAACCGTATTATTCTCTATGCTTTGTCCCTATATACATTGTTTTCTTTAGGAAAATCATAGGCAAAATGGCCACAGGACTTTAACACTATAGAAGCTCGTTACAACTTCATTTGTGAATATTTGGAACTTGTATATATATGAGACATGTTACTGTCAGCACCCTTAGAAGTCTTAGAGTGCTGACGTTACGCCGCTGCATGGATTTGCATATGGTGGCCATCTTTGTACATTTTTATCTGGCTGCCTATTGTTATGTTTGACACTTCAAATTTTTATAAAAGGTACTACACTATAAAAACATCTCTGGATCCTGTGGTGAGCATTTTTCTGCCACATCCTTGCTGCCCTTAGGATAACGATAACACCTTTGATGCCATCACCATAGAGTTATGACCTTTCAAGGGACCATTCCATCCAGATGGAGGCCATGATCTGTTTCCTGAGAATTAACATAATGCAGTTGTGCTGACTGTAATTTAGGTAGTCATACCCTCTGGTGAGTGCAATGTTTTTGGTGGTGGTTCACACCATGAAATAGAATATCACTGGACCAGAATCCACTTGGATGCACATGATAAAGAGAACACATGAACACTTATTTTGGTTGAGATTGCTTTTATTTTTATCTTTATTTGTACACATATTTATCCATATTTGGAAGATTTATTGTTATACATATGGTTGTTTAAAGAGATAGTGATTACAATTTCATGTTGGTATAATCCCAATTTAAAGGGATAGAGATTACATCTTTTAAATTGGCTCTAGAGGCTCGAGGTTTTTTACCTTCATGTATTCTATGCATGAAGGTAAAAACCTTCAGTGTGCAGCGCCCCCCCCCCCCCCCCTCCAACTCCCCCCCCAATCCTTACTTGAGCCCCCTCCAATCCAGCAATGTTCACAATAGCCTCGGCTGCATGGGAATTCACCCTCCTTATTGGCTGAGACAGCAGCCCCTTGGTTCCCGCTTCTGTCAATCACACCCAGTGAGGCAATGAGGAGAGACCTGGTGGTGGGCTGGAGCCACGGCTCTATGTGTCTTACGCATGCATAGAGCAGCAGCTCAGGGACGAGCATGCAGCGCGTACCCCCAGGGCAAGCAGCTTTCTCTGGGGGCACTGCTCGAGGAGGAGGAGCCAGGAGCGCCAGTGGGAACCCAAAAAGATGAGGTTCAGGGTAGCTGTGTGCAAAACTACTTCACAGAGCAGGTAAGTATGACATGGATTCTTCTGGAAACTCGACCATGTATCATTGCATTGTACTCCTTCGTAACAACCACACTATCTTTTTCCAGTCCAGCCTGTATTTTTCCTGAGGTTACCTGAGGGTTTCTCTTTGTACACTGAACAATTCTTCTCGCAGTTGTGGCTGCAATCTTTCTCGGTCTACCTGTACCTGGCTTGGTATAAAGAGACCCCCGAATTTTTCACCTCTTAATAAGTGATTTAACAATACTGACTGGCATATTCAAGGCTTTGGACATCTTTTTAAAGTTCCATTACCATGTTATGCTGGTCGTTTTACAGTTCTTTTCTGCATGGCTCAGTATCTAGCCTGCTCAGTGCATCCACATTAGAGCTAACAAACTAATTTATACACAGACGCTAATTGCAATTTAAAAAGCCACAGTTGTGGGAAATTACCCTTTAATTGCCATTTTTACCCATGTGTGTGTGTCACCTTGTGTGTCTGTACCAAGGCCAAACATTTTAGGGTAAAACTTTTGATCAGGGCCATTTGGGTGATTTCTGTTATCATTGTAGCGCTCACCCCCACAGGAGCCACTGAGTATTGGGGCCCCTTCACCCTGCACGGCCAGGCTCCAAGCTTTTTCCAACTTCCACTCAGCATCAGTAACCAGTCCATGAGCCTTTTTTTGTTGTTTTACATGGGGATAAACAACTTGGATAGGGTCTAGGGAATGCCCAACTTGATTTGCATCACTCTCCACTCTCTTGGCCTCCGAGACTCTGCTCTCTCCTGATTCTCCTCCTACCTATTGCAGCGTTCCTTCAGCATTACCTATAGCTCTGTCTCCTACTCTCCACTTCCTCTTTCTGTAGGGGTCCCTCAAGGTTCTGTCCTTGGACCCATTCTCTTCTCTATCTATACCTCTTCCCTTGGTCACTTGATAACGCCCATGGCTTTAAGTACCATCTCTATGCTGATGACACACACATCTATCTTTCTACTCCTCACCTCAACCCCTTCACTCTCCTAAATGCATTACTAAGCTACTAAGTGACATATTGGCATGGATGTCAATCCTCTTCCTCAAACTCAATCTTTCCAAAACTGAGCTCATACTATTCCCCCCAGCCCGTGCCCCCTCCCCTGACTTATCCATCAAGATCCATAATACGACTATCAGTTCCTCCCCTCCCCCCCCCAGGGTACTAGGTGTAATCCTAGACTCCCATCTGTCAGCCCCCCCCGCCATCCAATCACTGTCCAAATCTTGTAGACTTCACCTCTGCAACATCTCCAAGATACACCTGTTCTTAACCTCTGAAACTACTAAGCAACTTATTCACTCCCTGGTTATCTCTCACCTTGACTATTGTAACTCCCTCTTCATTGTCCTACCTAATCACATGCTATCCCCCTCTTTAGTCTATCATGAATGCTGCTGCCAGACTCATCCACCTTACTAACCGTTTTGTATCTGCCACCCCTCTCTGCCAATCCCTCCACTGGCTTCCCATTGCCCAACAAATAAGATTCAAAACATTAACAATAACATATAAAACCATTTATAACTCTGCCCTAAATTACATCACCAATCTTGTCTCAAAATATCAACCAAACCATCCCCTCCCGCTCCTCCCACGACCTCCTGCTCTCTAGCTCCCTTGTCTGCTCCCCCCATGTTCAACTCCAGGACTTTTCCAGAGCCTCCCCATCCTCTGGAACTCTCTGCCCCAATCTATCAGACTATCGACTACTCTGCACACTTTTAGGCGATCTCTGAAAACCTCTCTCTTCAGGGAAGCCTATCCTGCCTTTAGCTAATAACGGAATCTTCTATTCCTCCTACCAGTCCATCCCCCACAGTTATTATCTTTTGTACCACCAGCTCCTCCCTCTTAGATTGTATATATATATATATATATATATATATATATATATAAAAATTATCAAACAGATATGTTACAATTATCATATTCAAAGCTTACAAGCACCAGCAAATAGCAGCAAAATTTGGCAAAGAAAAGAAAAAAGATAAAGAAGCACATCTAGAAGCAAAACGTGATTCTTATCCATTATAGTGGTCAAGCCACTCTTGGGCAGCCTGCTGAGGGTCACAAAAATGAGCTTCATCTTCATATATTATTTTTAAGCTGCAGGATAGATCATGGAATATGATAACTTTAATTGTTGCAGTCTCTTTTTTAACTCTTGAAAATTTGCTCTACGCGTTGTGTTTCAGGTGAGAAATCAGAAAAGCATATAATTTTTTGCACAATTATAGTGGATTTCCTTCATCATTCTAGCCCTGTGGAGGATATTCTCTTTATCTCTGTAGTTTAGTAACCAAATAAGAAAATATCTAGGAAGGTTACCCAGTGTCAGCGAGTGGCAGGGAACCCTATGTGCATGTTCAACAGTAAGAAAAGAAGATACATACTCTTTGCCAAAGGTCTCCAACAGCCAATGCTGTGCAAATGTAACCAGGTCTTCACTCTCCACATTTCCAGGGAGACCAACCACCCTTATATTATTTTGTTGCAGTCTTTTTTCGAGATCCCCCACCCAGCTCAGCAGTAAGAGTGGCAACAGAGTCTTCAATATCGCTAACACGATATTCCAATTCAGTAGTGCATTCCCGTACTTTCTGTATATCATGCTGAATCAGTGCAATGTCCTCACTTACTACCTGAGTCTGCCCAGTAAGTGCAAGAATGGAATCAGAGCATTGCTGAACTGTGGCAATTACAGCCCTTAAAGCAGGTTTTGGAGTCTCTTCATCCACCCTTGGGCCACAATATGTGTTAAGTCCCACTGCATAGCTGCTCAGAATTTGAGTGGAGTCACTGTCCATTACTTGCTGAAGAGGGCCCCTGCCCAGCGATTGCTAAGTAAGATCACAGCTTGCTGTTAGCTGGCTAAGGTTGTGACTCATAGCTTGCTGAGTAGAATAACAAGTCATGGATTTCTGAGTTGGATCCAAGCAGGCTGAGCATTCTGACTGAGAAGCCAGCAAGACAGGAGTAATTACATCATGTTATGGTTGCATTTGTGAAATGTCGGAGGTGGGACACAGCTAGAGGTGGACATTTGCTGACACTTATCTTCATCTGAGTCCTTAGATAGACTATATTGTCTAGCACAGTGTTTCTCAACCTTTTTCCAGTCAAGGCACCAAAATTATGCTAAATTCTAAAGGCACCCCTAATAGTTGTACTAATAATTGCAGCATCCACAAGTAGGACACCCAACATTAGAGATGTTTTATTCTTACAAAGCAAATACACTCTGCACACTGGTACTGAATAGCATTCCAACATTTGTTCTCCCTAATTTTCTATTGATCATGCAGCTAATGTGGGCCCAGTGCTAACAGAGAGGAGCAGGGGGGGTCAAACCAGGATGCGGTGCAGGTGCTATATGTCCTGCTTATGTCCTGCTTATCAAATGATGTCATCAGTTGTTAAGACGTTGGTAGCTGGCCCACATGGCACCCAAGGTTGTAAAGTTGCACAATGAAAACCTACTGCTTTGGGTAACAAAAAGGCAGGGATGATCCTCCCACTGGCTTGTACAGGATTTTTGGGAAATTTGGGGTAATTTTTAGCTCATAGGGCTGGTCTAGCAAACCACTCCAAACAAGCGGCTGCAGACTCTTTAGACTTCTCTGTTCTAGTTATTCTGGATGTATGGAGCTGCTGTATAATGTTAGTGCTGTCTCTAATGGATGTCTCTCTCCCCTCATTTGTCATGACCACTGCCATTCCCTCCTTCTATCTAGTCATGACCTCTAATAAGCAACAAACAGCAAACAATCAAGCAAGCAGGCAGTGGTCAATAATGAACAATAATGAAAAATGTCAAGTCAAAAAGCAAAGAAGCAGCAGGATTACAAACAAAAGAACTACAATCAGCAATCAGGCAGGCAAGCAACCAGAGAACAGTAGGGCACACCAAGCAGGCAGATTGTGAGACCCAGCAAGTAGGCAGATGGATGAATAGATGGATGGAATGGATGGACTGGATGGACTGGATGAGCAGTGGGCAGATGAGCAAATAAGCAGATGAGCAGAAGGTCAAGCACACAGGTTCAAAAGATACAGGCTTCAAAATAGGAAGTAGCAAGCTGAATAATAGCTGACAAACCAGCAGACTGGCAGATGGGCACAACAATAGATAAAGCGATGACTAGCAGATCGAGAACCCATGTTTCTAGGCTCCCAGGCTTCCAAGCTTCCTGGCTTCCAAATGGCAGTATACTGGGACACCACTAAGAACACTGCTACAGGTCCCAGATGAAGCACAGTAAAGTGGGGCCGAGCCAAACAGAGCAGAGTAGAGAGGCAGAGTGAAGATAGGCCCACCGGCACACAACACACATGATGATGGATGATGATAGTGATCTGGCTGCCAATGCTGGACAGTGCAGACCTGTGGTATAGGGCACAAGCTGATCAACACACCCAGGCTTAAAGTGGTTATAAAGCCTAAATATTTTTTGCCTTAGTGCATTCCTTGCATTAAGGTAAAAAACATGTAGGCATCGATATCGGCATCTCACCCCCCTTATACTTACCTGAACCCTCATTCAATCCAGCACTGTGCAGGTCTGCAGCTCTTCTCTTCCCACACTTCTGGGTCTCACAGGCTTTGCTGAGGCAGCAAGAGCCTTTGGCTCCCACTGCATTCAATCAAAGTGACAAGGGGGCAGGGCAGAGTCTGTGTCAATGGATGCAGCAGCAGGGCTGAGGAGTGAGCCTGCATGAGTACCCTCATGGGAAGCAGAACTGGGGGCCCTTGGTGGAGGGGAGGAGCCAGAACCACCGGTGAGGGACCTGAGAAGGGAAGGTTCAGGGCTGCTCTGTGCAATTCTATAAGTATAGATATGTTTGTTATTAAAAAAAAAGTTTCCTTTACAACTGCTTTAAAATCCACTAAGGACAGTACAAACGTCTGACAGAAGAGGGAATCAGGAGCTGTTTCAGCAGTACCAGAGCCGAACAAAGTCGGCATTCTGTGTCAGCCACGTCGATCCAGGATAATTTTTGCTCACCCTCTCTCTCTCATCCACTCAACCTCTCTCCCACTCCCCCTTTCTCTCCCCTCTTTCTCCCCCCCCCCCTCCCCTCTCTCTCTTCCCTGCTCACCCTCTCTCTCTCACCATCTCTCTCTCTCACACCCCCTCTCTCTCCCCCTCTCACCCTATCTCTCTCAACCCCTCACCCTCCCCCCACCCCCCTCACCCTCCCTCTCTCCCCCCCCCTCTCTCTCCTCCCTCTCTCTCTCTCCCCCTCCCCCCTCTCCCCCCCCCTCTCTCTCTCACCCCCTCACCCTTTCTTCCCTCTATCTCTCTCACCCCCTCTTTCTCTCCCCCCTCTCTCTCCCCCTCTTCCCCCCCCCCCTCTCTCTCTCTCACCCCCCTCACCATTTCTCTCACTCCCCCCTCACCTTCTCTCTCTCACCCCCTCAGCGTCTCTCTCTCCCCCCTCTCTCTCTCACCCCTTCTCCCTCCCACTCCCCCCACCCCTTTCTCTCTTTCCTCTCTCTCTCTCTCTCAACCCCCCCATCTCCCCCCCTCTCTCTCCCCCTGCTCACATGCAGGCAGGGGGAGCAGAGTGGACACAGACTGACAGATTCCAGTAAGTGAGTGCCAGCTCCCAACACACATGTCCGGTACTCACGGAAAGGTCCCGGTCTGCTCTTTTGATCGGGACCTTTCCCGATCATGTGACTGCCATGATGATGTGTCACGGCGGTCACATGATCCCTAAACCCCGCCCCACCTCCCTTCTGAAAGTCTTAAAGGGCCGGGAGGCGCTGGCGGGAAGGGGTTAAAAGCAGCCTACTAATTGGATAAATTAATTAAAAAAAAACTTCAAGCACCAAAAAATATAATTATGGATAAACTTAAAGCAGAGCTCCACCCATAAGGGGAAGTTCCACTTTAATGCATTGTCCCCCACTCCACGTTAAGGATTGGCACCTTTTGGGAGTGGAGGGGGGGAGCCTAAGGCGATCAGAAGCTGTAGTTGTCCTCCCCCATCCCTCCCCATAGTTTTCTGGGAAAAGTGACAGGTCCCAGAAGACCGCATGACCATTCAGAAAGCGCAGCGCTACTCGCGCATGCGCAGTGGTCACCCGGCTGTGAAGCCGCAAGCTGTCACAGCAGAGTGTCCACACTGAAGATGCCGGTGCCGCGGAGAGAAGACGGCCGGTGAAACCAGCCATAATGAGGACACTGCAGGACCGAGGGACAGGTAAGTGTCTGTAGTCTAAAAGTCAGCAGCTACAGTTTTTGTAGCTGCTGACTTTTATTTTTTTTTTTAATCAGCTGGAACTCTGCTTTAAGCTGATCAATGGCTGTCAAGGCCAAAGTACCAGTTATGGCTGTTAAATCATTGTCAAGTGCACCATAAGACTTTTATCTAACAAACTTGATTTGATACATTAACCATGTAATAATAAAACATAAAATGAATATTGCTGTTTGAAATTTAAGCTGAAATTACACATGAAATGTACAAATATTTGTTATTGTTTTTAGGAGATAAAGTTGTTCCACTTTGCCTTCCTCAATGTGGAAAGTGCAGCTCTTGTCTCAATCCAAAGAGCAATTTTTGCTTTCATTCACAGTAAGTATTCATAAATATACACTGTTCAGTATATCTCATATCTATGTCCATGGCCACAAGAACTTAATTTTTTTTAAATAAAAAATAAAATAAAAAGAAAGAGTGCATAACCATAGCGGTGCTGGATTCTCTCACTGGATTTTCACAGCACTTACTCGGAATTCAGCATTAGTATTGCTGTGTCTTGTAGTACCACAGACACTTTTTTCTATTTTTATTGATTTTTGCATCACTTTGCTATATTATTGGATGAACACATGTTTATGCATCATATCACCTAATCACTTTATTGATATTACATTTACACACATTTTATTTTGAGTTTTCTATATTTATTGCACCAATGATGCTATTTAATATTTAGCGCTGCACTTTATTCATTTATATACTTTATGTAGAATAAAAGTTAAACAATGTGTAATCTTTTAAAAGCAAATCTTTTAAAAACACTAAAAAGTACATTGTTATCTGTTAAAAGGTATCTAAAGTTTTATCAAAAACTAACAAGAGGTTTTGCCTGGAGTTATGCTTTACCTATCAAGAAGATTAACAAGAAGTTACATTATTATGTTACTATAGCAATACACTTCTTTAAACAGCAACATTTGTAAATGACAAGACCTAACTATTGTTTATGATACTTTGTTTTCATTTTAAATATAGCTTTTCTGAATCACAGAATGTAATGCTTGACAAGACATCAAGGTTTTCATGCAAGGGAAACGTTGTATATCATTTTTTGTGGACCAGCACCTTTTCGGAATATATTGTGATGCCTGCTGAGTCGGTTGCAAAGATTGATGATGGAGCACCCATGGAGAAGGCCTGTCTTTTTGGATGTGGCTTTCCCACAGGTTATGGATCTGCTGTCAATACTGCCAAAGGTAAATTTATTAATCTTTAGACCTGTTTGATTTAATTCAATTGCAAGCCTCATTTAATGCATTTTTGGCTATGAAAGCATCCATACATTGCTAACATGGTAAATATTTCAAGCAAAAAATGCATACAGTACTATTGAAAATTCAACAGGGATCCCCTCGGGATAAATCCATTGAGTCATTTTCATATTCCTTCAATGCCAATGTTCGAAAGTATTATTATTATTATTATTTTTAAGTGCCATCAACTAGAGTCAGAGTCCTAGTGACTTGATGAATGAGAGCTCTAAAAAGAAGTCTGCTTTGTGCTAGTCTTGGGAGATTCTCCAGTGTCATCCCCACAGCTGTAGTCAATGTGTCTAACCACCTAGTAGTCAGTCTCTCTCTTCGCCTGGTTCTTTCTATCTTCCAAAACATTATTTTCTTCTCCAGTGATCCCTCTCTTCTGATAGTGTGACCAAAATAGGACAGTTGCGACTTCATCATTTTGGCTTCTAGTGACATAGCTGGTTTGATCCCTTCCAAAATCGATCCATTCGTTCTATGGGCTATCCACAGCACAAATAAAATCCTTCTCCAGCACCAAAGCTCAAATGAGTCGATCTTCTTTCTATCCTGTTTCCAGCTTTCGCAACCGTAATTGACAACTGAAAAAATGAGAGCATAGACAAGTCTGATCTTTGTTTCCAGTGTAATTTCTTTGCATTTAAAAACTTTGTTGAGCATCTTCATATCAAAGTATATAGAGTATCTCATTAATTGTGTGACTAAGGTATATTTTCATTGATCAGTACCTTTGATCATTGGTATCATAGAATTTTTATGTTGGGCACAGGACTGTGAGGATCTTGCTGCTTCTGAAACAGGTGGTCAGAAGACAATAAGAATATGCTGCAGAAAGGGAGTAATACATTAGGTTAATGTTAAACTCAGGGTGTTTATTTTAACTTCTATTTTTAACGTTGCCATTAGGTGTTAGGAGGTTAATGTTGGGCGGAGAGACGGTTAAGAGTTAGGGCTTACTTTGGGTTTATGTTAGGGGTTAGTTGGAGGGCAACTTAGGGTCAGGTTAAGTGTTCTGGCTGAAGGGTTGAGTGCTAAGGTTGAGAAAAGGGTTAGGTGTTGAAGATTAACCACTTGGTAACCATGCTATAGCCGAATGACAGCTACAGCGCAGTTACCCAGTTCTAGGAGGGTGGCATATGACGTCCTGCCAGAATGCGCCCTCCCGTACGCCCCCCCGGGGGTGGGCACCCGGCGATCTCCATGATCGCTGTGTCCTACGGACAATGACACAGCAGATCACTGGGTAAATACAGTTGCCTGTTATCAGCTGCGATTTCCTCATGCTGTCACAGCGTGAGGAAAGTAATGCCAATAACCGGCAATTGTCAGAGGATGGATCGCCACTGATCAGGTTAAGTGTTCTGGCTGAAGGGTTGAGTGCTAAGGTTGAGAAAAGGGTTAGGTGTTGAAGATTAACCACTTGGTAACCACGCTATAGCCGAATGACGGCTACAGCACAGTTACCCAGTTCTGGGAGGGTGGCATATGACGTCCTGCCAGAATGCGCCCTCCCGCACGCCCCCCCGGGGGTGGGCACCCGGCGATCTCCATGATTGCTGTGTCCTACGGACAATGACACAGCAGATCAATGGGTAAATACAGTTGCCTGTTATCGGCTGCGATTTCCTCACGCTGTCACAGCGTGAGGAAAGTAATGCCGATAACCGGCAATTGTCAGAGGATGGATCAGCACTGATCATCAGGGTACTGATGATCAGTGACGCGATGATCAGTACACAGCAGTGCCGCCCACCAGTGCCCAGCGGTGCCAGCCACCTGTGCCCAGCAGTGCCAGTCACCTGTGGCCATCAGTGCCCATAAGTGCCACCCACCTGTGCCCATAAGTGCCACCCACCAGTGCCCATCAGTGCCCCCCATCAGTGCCGCCAGTCAGTGCCGCCAGTCAGTGCTGCCCATCAGTGCCTCCTATCAGTGCCCATCAGTGTCGCCTATCATTGCAGCATCATCAGTGCCGCCTATCAGTGCTGCCTATCCGTGCAACCTCATCAGTGCCCATCAGTTCTGCCTATCAGTGCCCATCAGTGCTGCCTATCAGTGCAGACTCATTAACGCACATTAGTGAAGGAGAAAAATGACCTGTTTGCAATATGTTATAATAGAAACAAAAAAACTTTTTTTTTTTCAAATTTTTTGCTATTTTTTTGTTTATAGCTCAAAAAATAAAACACCCAGTGGCAATTACATATCACCAAAAGAAAGCTTTATTTGTGTGAAAAAAATTATAAACATTTCATATGGGTATAGTGTTTCATGACCGCGCAATTGTCATTCAAAGTGCAACAGCATTGAAAGCTGAAAATTGGCCTGGGCAGGAAGGGGGTATAAGTGTCCAGAGGGCATGTTATGTCACTCCAATCTAAGCAATGAAAGTGTGATCTCTGAAACTTACAGTTGTGATGAGATAGCAATAACTCCAATCTTAGTTGAATAACACAGGCAGTGACTCAATCCAAATGATTTCTTGTAGATCTTGTGAAGTTTATTCCATAAACTGAGAGAATCTTACAACATTGAACATCGGATAGATCAAAAGATCATAATGTGATCTGCTTCATGACATGAGGCTAGAAGCTGCAATGCATTTCTGGGAAAAAGGGTGGGCTATCTATACAGCATTAACTAAACCAGAGGAAAGGGAGGAGCAGAGACAAAATATAAAGAACACTTAAAGGCATATGACAGTCATGTGAAACATGACAAGGCAAGTGGTTAAGAACTAAGGCATTACTTCCAGTTAAGGCTAGGTTGTGTTCAGACCTTGCTGCGTGTTGGGAATTTAGGTGCAGAGACCTCAAAGATTAACAGCAAAATTCCGATTTCAGCAAATACTGTAACTAAACAGACACTTCAATGGCATAGTGAAAAACACTGAAATTGATTATTGTCTGGACAGATTATACAAATATTAAAATAAAACACTGAACTTTTTGTTTAATGAACAGGTGGAGCCTGGTACTACGTGTGCTATTTTTGGATTGGGTGGCATTGGGTTGTCAGCCATTATTGGATGTAAAGTTTCTGGAGCATCAAGAATTATTGCTATAGATATAAACAGCAGCAAGTTTGAAAAGGCAAAGCACTTTGGAGCCACTGACTGCATCAATCCCAATGATTACAGCAAGCCAATCCAGGAAGTGATCAAGGAAATGACAGGAGATGGAGTACATTATTCCTTTGAATGTATTGGCAATACGGATGTTGTGGTAAGTAGTTTTAAATGTGATTTACCTTTAGTAAAAGGACCACTAGGCAAATTACAGATGAAATTATATTTTTCAACTATTTACATATTATTACTTATATTTACAGTATTTTTGGAAAACACATTTCAGATGCAGGTTTTATCATAATATATCCCAACAGCATCCAAATGACTGGTTTCAACTTTTGGGGTTGATAGCAGGCAGGGGGAGCAGGAAGATAAAGTCCATGTGTACCTGTAACTATTAAAGTGGATCATACATCAAAATGCAAGGTACCACTATTTAGCAGATCCCCCCCCCCCCCCCCCCCCCATCAAGGGTGAGGGGTTAAAAACACTAGGACAAAAACACATGGGGGTGAGGAGTTGAGGCTCTTCTAAATAGCGATACCTGCATTTTGATGTAAGGCTTTTTAAGCAGAGAATGGCAGGAAAGAGTCTGTATTAGCATTATTATTATACAGTATTTATAAAGCGCCAATAGTTCGCTCAGCGCTGTACATTACACAGGGGGACAGAACATGTGACAGAGCAATACCAATACAATGCAAAACATGAGGGGATTGAGGGCCCTGCTCTTTCGAGCTTACAATCTAGGAGGGTCAATTATTAACTCTCATTATCCAACCTCGGTGCCCACATGTAACTAGATATACACTATATTGCCAAAAGCATTGGTACGCATGCCTATACACACACATGAACTTTAATGGCATCCCAGTCTTAGTGTTCAATATTGAGTTGGCCCACCCTTTGCAGCTTTAAACACTTCAACTCTTCTGGGAAAACTGTCCACAAGGTTTAGGAGAGTGTCTATGGTAATGTTTGACCATTCTTCCAGAAGGTCTGGCTCTCAGTCTCCAAAATAATTCATCCCAAAGGTGTCCTGTCGGGTTGAGGCCATTCAAGTTCCTCCACCCCAAAACTCGCTCATCTAGGTCTTTATGGACCTTGCTTTGTGCACTGGTGCACAGTCATTTTGGAACAGGAAAGGGTCATCCCTAAACTGTTCTCACAAAGTTGGGAGCATGAAATTTCTACAAAACAGCATGTCTCCAAAGTAAAACACACAGCACACAGTTAACCCTGTGATCGAACCAGATGTTAACCCCTTCCTGCCCAGTGTCATTAATCCAGTGTCAGTGCTTTTTATTAGCACTGATCACTGTATTAGTGTCACTGGGGATGTCAGTGGCAGTTAGTCAGTTCCCACCAAGTGACAGAATGCCTGCGGTAGTCCCACTATAAGTCGCTGATCACCGCCATTACTAGTATATATATATAAAAAAAAAAATTCCAGTATATATATCTCCTTTTGTAGATGCTATAACTTTCACGTAAACCAAATAATATACACGTACTGGGATTTTTTTTTTTTTTTTAACATAGACATGTAGCAGAATACATTTTGGCCTAAATTTATGAATAAATTTGATTTTTTTTAAAAATTTTATTGGATTTATTTTATAGCAAAAAGTCAAAAATATTCTTTTTTTTTTTCAAAATTGTCAGTCTTTTTTTGTTTATAACGCAAAAAAAAAAAAACACGCAGAGGTGATCAAATACCACCAAAAGAAAGCTCTATTTGTCGGAAGAAATTGACATAAATTTCATTTAAGTGCAGCATTGTATGACCAATCAATTGTCAGTTAAAGTAAAGCAGCGCTGTATTGCAAAAAAATGGCCTGGTCAGGAAGGGGGGTAAATCCTCTGGAGGGCAAGTGTTTCTAGGTATTTACATTTGTTTCAAAGTTTTGCTCATCTTCATTATGATTTTCTTTATCCTGTTGAACTAGAGAGCAGCACTGGAGTGTACTCATCCAGGATATGGGACCAGTGTGGTTATAGGTGAACCTCCACAGAATGCAAAGATCACATTTGATCCTCTTTTGCTTCTCACAGGGCGCACATGGAAAGGCAGCTTCATTGGAGGTACATTTAAACGATAAAACATTGATGAAATTAGATTTTTTTTTTCAGCTTTTTTGCACTTTGTAATATGACAAGCATACCCAGAACCCATATTTGTGCATATAAGTCACAATATCAATCATTTGTAGAAGTTGAATTTTTTTAAAACAACATAAATCATGCCAAGATTTTATATGTTATGATGTAGTGCTGAATTTCTGTTTTAGTCACAAAATTCAAGTGAACTTCATTACTGCTTCATATATTGCTATAATATTTGTAGCCTTGATTGCAGGGCCTAGTCTGCTTCTGTCTTGTAGATATTGCAAACACTCTTTTCCTGTGGACTGCTGACATTTTTCAGACTTGGTCCTGTTGGTTAATCAGATTAGGTTTGTCTTATTGATGAGGGTGTGCTAGATGCCAAGTTAGTGACAATTACTCTATAAAGCATCTACTCAAAAAGTAAGAAACTCAAAAAAGCCGATATGTTTATTTCATTACTCCTTCTGTCAATCACAGCCATTGAGGAGGGAGTGGGAAGTGAGCCAAGCAGTGCTCTGTGTGTTGTATGGAAACACAGAGCTGGCTTGGGAACAGGCAGCAAAAGTGCCCCCAGAGCAAGTGGCTTGCTATGGGGGCACTCAACAAGAGGGAGGGACCAGGAGCACCACTGGGGAACTGCAGAAGAGGAGGATCAGGGCTGTTCTGTGCAAGACCATTGCACAGAGCAGGTAAGTATGACATGTTTACTATTTTAAAAAATTAGAAACTACGACTTTGCAATCACTTTAAAACTAGGTATTAGTGAACAGGATAAAGTTCACTTCCAAAGAGGTTTGGCTAATTCAGCAAAAATCCACTAAACCCAAACATAGTTATGAACATCACGAAAGTTCATGGTAGCCTAAACGTGGTTTTTTTTTTTTCTGGCTTTTTTAAGGCCCATTTACAAGCTTTTTTTCAATAAAGGACATAGATAGTTGGGTACTGCAATACTGTAAGGGAGACTAATAAAAAAAAAATAGACAGTGTTTTTTCATGGGCAGAGAGTAATTGACTGTGGCTTAAGAGACAACATTAATTACACAAATCCTTTAAATAACATGCTTTAGGGATGCCCTAAACCTGAAGATGAACATGACGTTCCAAGTAGTGGGATGTACATCGAAAATGTCAGGATCGTGATCTGAACTCATAATCTCTGTTGCATCCAGCAGTACCTCTTCTTGCCAAGCCACCTGAGATGCTGGGCAGTGCTCTGTCTGATCTTTTGGACAATCCTGCCTTGTGCCCTGTGTAACATCCTGCTACAAGTGGATGCAGGATGTTAAAACAAACACAAGATGGCAGTGTCCTGTAGAACAGTTACATTCACACTCTGTAGAGCAGCCCCATGGAACTTTAATGCTGAACCGCAGGACTTTGCTAAGGAATGGTGTAGTAAAAAACTACATTTCCCAGAGGAGCTGGCATGTGGGCGGAGGCATATATATTTGAAACCCCAGGAGATGAGACAGGAAGTGAGAGGGGAGAAATCTAGAGAGAGGAGTGTGCTGACTGTGGGAGGACCGGACCAGGCCATGGAAAGAGTGAAAGAGAGGCAAGGAGAGTCTGCTGATCGCTGACCTTGCGGCATCGTGGAGAGAGCTAATCTGCTAGAAGGCAATCAGATGGAATGCTGCAGGCGGGAACAGAGAGTGTGTGAAGGCCTTACTAAAAGGGAGAGAGAGACCGCCAGAATCCGCCAGACGCCATCCCTCGAGTGAGAGAGTCCCAATTATTAAGTACAGGGAACACTGACACCTACTTCACCTTTGCTATTTCTCTGCACACAGTTGTGGACATTGCACATAGTTATTCAAAGTTGCAGCCTAGTTCCTTTAGCCGCTATTGTCTGACTACACTTAGCACAGGTTATCATCAGAGCTGATAGCAGGACAGTCGGTCCACAGGCCGAACCACTTCTCTGTCACCATCACCATCAACTCTGAACTTCCTAAGCCATGCCTTTGCACTTCCTGTTTGCCAGAATATTGTGCTCTTCTCCAGCCAATATCTTGCTATTGTCTCTTGCTGCCATCCATATCTTCATAAGTACTCTTTAACAACCTTGGCTTGTTCTTTGACTAACCGCACTATCCCTACCTGCCACCATTTACTGACCTTTGCTTGTTCTTTGACTACACTTCTATTTTATCCCAACCTGCAACCACTTGCTACTGACCTTTGGCTTGTTTACTGACCATGCTACTGCATGATCCCTACCTACTATATCTGGAACTGGGTCCTGGCTTACTCAGCTCCTGGTAGAACTATCCTGAGGACCACGACCTGGTAATTACATGTAGAAAAACCAATCACCATCATCAGGAGCCTTAGTGAATACTGGTGAGTGCTTAGACCCAGCACCTTGGGTGAGCCTGCATCATCCACCAGGGTGACCTGCTTGTATATCTATTCAGCTGGTTGTGTGAGCCTCTTTACTACTATAGCTACTGGTCTCTGAGCCTGACCTCTGACCGTGACATATAAAAGTGGTCACACCTAGAAAAGCGGTCAGAAATATGTAATTTGGCAGTGTTAGCACTACCACTGCTAAATGGCAACTCCCTACTGTCTCAAAAAGCCCTCAAAACATAGTAACATAGTTAGTCTGGTGAAAAAAGACAAAAGTCCATCTAGTTCAATACCTTGCCATTAAGACTTTTATCAGTAATGTAAACAGTACATGTCAGCTTTGGCAGGCCAGAACATTAGTAGCCTTGTAAAAACCTCTAATTGGCAATCATTAGAGCAGAGCCAGACAAACCAGATACCTTTGAACAAGTCCATTATAAATCCCATTAGCAAGACATAAACAGTACCAAATGTGAGTTGTAACTACTTTAGCTGGCTGATAAAAGAGTAAACATTCCAAAGTCTAGTGTTTTTATAAATGGCTGTGATTGACTATCATAAAGCAATTTAGCAGCTCTGCATTTGACACCTGGAAAAAGGTGATCTGAAAGTATTCAATCAAACTCCCACACTCACAATTTACACATAATTCATAAATACTGAGATGATTAAATTGTATTCTTAACTGGCATCTTTCTGAAAGTATAACTATATCATGAATAATTTCATACTAAATATAACTAGGCTATTATGCACAGCAGTAAGTGCCTATGCGATCTAGACTTCTGATGAATATAATATTTTTTCTCTATAAAATGGTATTTTCATGCTGCACAATAATACATGGGTTATCAGACTATGATCTATTATGGATGCAGTATAGGACTGCATTTAGAAACCTGACATCAAGAGCTCCCCCCTCCTAAGACCCTTTGATTGATCATTTCTGTAAATGTCCTCCTTGGAGGGTCTCCAAAAGCTGGTGTAACTGCTGATCTGAAGTCAAATTTTTCCATCAAAACTACACATAAAGACAGTCATTATTTAAAGCAGTGACTTTGTCAGATCTGACTTGCACTGACAATACAATAAGTGCAGTGCAAAATATAAACTAAATCCAAATAACATAAATTCACATACACCTAATCAAAACTGATTGCAAACAGTGGCAAGATGTTGCCATACACCTCCGCTCCCACTATTATCAACTAGAAGGACTCTGCAATATTCTCTTCACAGTGTTGCATATATCCTTTTCGTTCCAATGATAAGAATGTTCTTTATGATACAAGTCAATTCTCCATGTACAGAGCAAAAAGCCAAATGAAAAAATGCACTCCAGGGCTATGCTGAATCTCACTGTTCTTTGCTGTGTTCCTCTGTGCCTGACTGGCCAAGTACCTCTGGGTTTTCAACCTGTGCTCTAATGTAGCTGCAGTGGAAAAGAAAGGAAACCCAAGGCCTTTTAAATGTTAAGCACTCTTAGTCTCCAATATATCATGTCTGAGGTTTCTGTGTTAAGCTTAAGTTCTCCTCCATGCTGTCCTATTTATTTTGCGGTTGCTATTATTTTCTGTTTTGTAATATCTGTTTCTGTTAATATTCTGTTAATATTTTGCCTGTACTGTTTTTCTTTTTCTTTCACAAAGCTATATTTAAAAATCCTTAAGCCTTATCTCTGAAAGCCTAAAATAAGAACATAAAGAGTCCTTGCTCTGTGAAGAACATTGCCATTTTTAACTTTTCACAGCGTGACAACGTGCATTACAGACCTTTCCTTAAAGTCAGAATTGTTACAGCAGATACTGTACTGTAAATGGTACGTTTCCATTAAACACATTGTGGCAGCTGCTGTATTTGTGTAAAACTGCTGATGTAATGATCACTCTCAACCCGCTGATACTTAGATTGTTGTGCCACAAGCTGGAAAATATTTGGTCACAGTGAGGCTGAGAGCACCATATATTGTAAATTTGTATTTGCCTGATGCATTTGTGTGGTTTGTGTATTTTGTATCTGATAGTCCTGTGCTAATCAAGAATCTGAATTTTTCAGGTCTTAAAACTAGGGACCATATCCCCCAGTTGGTATCTAGCTACATGACAGGCAAATTTGACGTGGATGGTTTAATGACTCATACTTTGCCTTTTTCCCAAATAAATGAAGGATTCCAACTTCTAAGATCTGGAAAAAGGTTGGTTTTTGTGTTAATAAATTAAATTTTATTTTTACAATGTACTTTTCTGAAAGGGATTGGGTTTGTGGGTAAGCTAGAGGTTGTGCTCTAGGACACCAAGGTCTATGCTTAGTCTCACACTGTAATGTTGATACTACTGTCTAATGTTAAAATGTTGTGTTGTCTTTGCCTTTGTTTGAGAGAATTTCCCTTACATCCTGTGATAGAGATGATGATCACCGGTGTAAAAAAGGCCTGCTGCACAAAGATATTTTTTTTGTGGCGAATGCATAAAAAATTTACCACAGATCAACGCTGGATATCTGTCAGGGTCTACTCTGGAGGGATTCTGCCCTGCATGTTAACTTTGAAAGGAAACATAATTGAGAAACAGTTAATTGAATACAAAGCGGAATTCTTTTAGGTACAATGGTTTCTGGTCAAAGCCCAACTCTTGATCGTACATCACAGGGAGCTAACCTTTTAGCTACTGTATTATGCAGCTACTTTCAGGTGATTCTACACTGGCAAAGTTAATCAAAGCTGCAGAATAGCTTTGTGTACCCCTCTCACTCCCAACTTGCCTTTGTTTTTTGCTAGTGGCCCAGAAGATGATGCCCTCGGCTCTGAGGGAAGTATATTTCTTTGCACAATTTTTTTACAAACTCTAGCATGTGTTCCTACATTGTTCCTTAAGCCACTGCAGAGCTTCCATCAGTTATTCAGATTAGTTTTCTCTTCAGCAGTGTCTTGGTGGACCGTAACTGCATCTTGCTGGATGGAAAATGTAGGGCTGGCCTGCAATGTGCTTAATCACTGCACCCTGTGTTTGGTGCACACCCTGCAGCATGCAGCACTTAGACTGGACACAGGGTACCCTACAGATCCAGAGCTAAGGTCCATCAAGTTGGAGCCCTAACTCTGAGGACACTCTTAGGGAAGTGTACCCATTTGGAGGTTGTGTTTGTATCACATTTTTTAGTGTTTTAAGCTTCACATTTAAATTTGGTGCCATTGTTGTACCTTTAGGGTCTAGAGGCCATAGACCAGCCTCCCTCTTGGGCACCATACTGTGAATTTGCCTGTAATTTTCTCACTCGCAGCCACACTATGGTTGAACACATGATTCTGCTACTGTGATTCTGTCACCACAAAGGTAGAATGCAGCACTTCGTGTCTTCAGACAGCAGAAGCTGTAAGCAGGTCTTTTCCCCTGCTCCCTTAGAGACACCCTTTGACACTCCTCTATCTGCTTTCGCTCTGAGGAGCAAGAGGAAGAAGGGGCTGCATCTAGCTTTGAGTCCACTCAGGAAGAGGAACTGCTACCTGTCATTTCTGTTAAGTTTAAGGGCACTATTTCTGTCCTGGTGGGTGCAGTTCATATATGCTTGCACTTAGAGCCACTTGCGTCAAACCTTCCAAAGGTCTCGAGTTTGGAGTCCTTGAAGACCCATAAAAATCTTTCCTGTTCACTTGCTGTTACAGTCTGTGTTATATGGTGAATGGGATCACCATGAAAAATTGTTTTGTCACCCAATATACAGTTTACCAGCAATGTCTTTTAAACAAGGCTTTCTTAAGAATTTGGCTGTTTCTGTTGTGGACCCTGCCATCTCTTCTTTGTCCTCTGAGGGGGACATACTAGTTTTCAAGGATCACACAGAGAAAAGGCTGGTCTTTAAGACCTTGCTTGCCCTTGCAGGTCCAGCCACAATAGTGGTATGTCAGACCTTATCTATATGGTCCAAAGTTATAACTAGAGACCCTGGGTCCATATTGACAGGCCCTTTAAGTTCTTAAACATTTTTTCACCAGCCTTACATTATTGTGTTGATGGTTTGGTAGATACTCCCCACCAAACCTCTAGGATGGACTTCCTGTCTGTTCACATGTGGTGGATTCTTGGCTTAAAAATTGGGATGAACCAATGCAACATGCAACTCAAAGAATATGCACCGGTTTTAACTTGGATGAAACTTCAGGGTCTGGCCCTGTCCATCTTGCAAATTCCTAGTGTGGAATATTTTTAGAAAGGTCCGTTCACCTAGAAGTGTTTCAAAGCCTTTGTCACAGGTGGCGGTTATCAGATCTCTTTATGCCCAAATTCAACAACCAATTGAAACAGATTTGTCACCAGAACCAGGAACCCTTGAGCCTTCACAGTAGATGTCTTGGTGACTCCACAGGATCAGTTAAGGGTGATCTATGCCTTCCCACCTCTGAATTGCCTACACTTGTTCGCAGGATCAAGAGAGAGGACATCCTTGTGATCCCCATTGCTCCCAACTGACCCAGAAGATTGTGGTATGTGGACCTATAAAGTCTCCTACCAGATTCTTCATAGGCACTACTAGATCATCTATAAAATGCCTGTCCCAAGGACCAGTATTCCATCCTGCTTCTCATTTACTGGCTTTAATGGCATGGCTGTTGAAACCAAGGTCCTGAAGGACATAGGCCTTTCAGGTGCTATTATCCTTATACTTCTTAGAAAACTAAGTCAGTCTTTCTCATGGTCTACCCTTGCAACTGGAAGGCCCATTTAGCAAATCAAGGAAGTTCCTTTCTTGGAAGTACTGTATGGGATGCATTTAATTATTCCTCCAGTCTGGCCTGGGCCAGTATTTGGCATTTAGTATCATAAAGAGTCAGATTTTTGCCTTGATGATTCTTCTCCAGAGATTGGTGGCACCTAATTCTCTGATAAAGGCTTTTGGCTTTGAGTCACCCCATATTATTCCCCCTGTAAGTGCTCAGGGGAACTCCAAGGTCTCTGTTGGCTCTTCAGAAGCCATCCTTTGAAGCAGACATATTTTTCTGATCTCTCTCAAACGCAAGGTGGCTCTCCTGGATGCCATCAATGTTGCTAGATTTATCTTCTCTTACTGCGGTGTCTACCTTGCATCTTAACCAGAAAACCATTTAACCTTCCTTATGTCTTGCAACAAAACATCATAAAAGGATTTGACCATTGTCTGGATGTGGACTTTACTAGAGGAGTTAGTGCTTCTTGACCTTTTCATTATCAGGTTTCTGTATCCCAAATCTGTAAGGCTGCCACCTCGTAGGGATTTCAGTGCTAGGGAGGGAGGATTATTGTGCTAGGTGTGGGGTTTTTATTTGTGAGATTTTTAGGTGGACAGAGATGTTTGTGCTAGGAGGGTTTTGTGCTGCTGAGAAGATTTTGTTGCGGCACTGAGACTAGGGTTTTTCTTGGGGGTGGGAACTTTATCTGATGGGGTGAGTTTTCTTGGGGGGGGGGGGGGTCTGAAACCTTTGCTGGCATGAGTGAGGAGGGTTTTTTTTTGGGGGGTGGGGGGATTTTATCTGACAGCGTGAGAAGGTACTTTCTTAAGGGGTAGGGTTTTGCCTGATGGTGTGAGAAGGAATTTTTACTGAGTGGTTGGGTTTATTGGAGGTGGGGAATTTTCATTGATGGGGCAGGGTGTTATTAGGGGGTGTGTGTTTTTAAGGACATACATGAGCAGGGTTTTCCTTTTGGGGGTGGTGGGGATTGTTGCTGACAGCTGTAAAAAGATTTTCTTGAGAGGGGGTTTGCTTGGAAGAAAAAAGTTTTGTGATGGGATAGGATATTTGCTTGGGGAAGTGTGTGTGTGTGTGTGTGTGTTGGTGGGGGGGGGGGGTTGTTTAGTTAGGGATACATATTCCTGACCTCTGCACATTCTACATTGCATACTCCTAACCACTGCATGCTGTACATTGAATGCCCCTTACCCTTACACCCTGTATGTTAAATGGTACATATTTATAAATATTTTGTAGGTACAAGAACTGTGGCATATGTGTAAGTTGGTGTAGGTACTATTTAATTATGCCTTTTTAAAGTATAAGTTCACTTTTAAAAAAAGTAATAAATGCCCATTTTTTTTGCAGGTTAGAAAGTATGCATTTACTAATTTTTTTTTTTTGAGCCTGGAAAGCATTGCACCAACGATCAGCAGATCACTGGTGCTATGCAGGACTCCAGCAGACTGTGAATGAAAGAACTCTATGAATGAATGAACTCTGTGAATGAATGATGCCCCTTGTGTGAGCAGAGCCTCACACAGCTGTGATGTTTTCAAAAAGTGACAGCTAGTACAGCCTGTACTGCTGTCACAGGGAAAGAGGGCAGTAGGTGGTAGCTGCAGCAGTGGAACAGGTTACACATTCCCCCCCAAAAACAGGTGGAACATGCAACATATTCCCAAAAGTGAATTTATCCTTTAAGTCCTCTCACTGTTCTATGAGCCAACTTTAAAAGCAAATCCATATGCAATCCAAAAGATAGCATGTGTATAGTATGCTAAATTAATTAAAGAACATAAGGAAAGTGCTTAGGTGCAAGAAACCCTTCATCCTGTAACTTACCAGTCAGAGTCCCATCTGCATTCTTTTCCTGTTGCTGTCACAATTTCTACATTGCTGCTACCCCAAACAAAAATATTCAGGGGAGGCATGACTGAGTCTTATCAACCCACCCAGCCTACATGGTTTATGTATCATGCTGTTTGGCAGCATTTTCTATCCTAGCTCTTTTGCAGCATGAAAGGTGTCAGTATGTTGCAATCTGATTACAGCAGGAAATGTTTTAGCTATAGTCAGGTTGCATATAGAAGAGTGGAGCACAGACCAGCAGGTAGACAAATTGTGGCCTGGGTCTCTGTTGCAAGCATTTCTAAATGGGCCCTTTACATCTTTGAAACCTGTACTGCCAGGTGGCGGCCCATTTTGTTCATTTATGGGTGACTTTTTAGAAGCTGGCAGAGGTGTTATGGATGGGCAAGAACCTTGTGTCTGGTGGCACCTTTCCAGAGTTAGTGGACATTAGTTTCCCACCTCACTTTTTGGTCTAATGGTGCTTTTTTGGCTTCATAAAAAAATGTCATATACTACCTCCCTAATCTCTTTTATGTGCCGTAAAAGAGATGATGCACGATGGCCTTACAGTGGATGCATCTTCAAACTTTATGACTCATTTGTAAAAGTGTAGGACATATTGAATGAAGAATCTTGATTAATAATTTGTTTTTTATGTACACT